CGGGATGGGCTGGAATGGGCTGGGATGGGCTGGGATGGGCCGGGATGTGTTGGGATTTGTTGGGATGTGCCAGGATGAGCCGGGATGTGTCAGGATGAGCTGGGATGTGTTGGGATTTGTTAGGATGTGCCGGGATGAGCCGGGATGTGCTGGGATGTGCCGGGATGTGCCGGGATGAGCCGGGATGTGCCAGGATGTGCCGGGATGTTCCGGGATGTGCTGGGATGTGCTGGGAGGTGTTGGGATGTGCCGGGATGGGCCGGGATGTGCTGGGATGTTCCGGGATGTGCTGGGATGTGCTGGGATGTGTTGGGATGAGCCAGAATGAGCTGGGATGTGCCAGGATGTGCCGGGATGAGCCGGGATGTGCTGGGATGTGTGTGTATAACATAGCAGCCTGCAAAATTTGTTCTCTCTTTGCTTTTCAAACCCCCCTCCCCCAAATTGCTGGGATTTTTGGTTTGGGCTGTTTTAGGGTTTTTTTGTTTGTTTGTTTGTTTGTTTTTGTTTTAAATTTTGCTTCATTTGGGGCTGAAAACATTTTGGCCACACATTGCTCAAGGCTTCCATTTCCAGCTGGAAATTCCCGGGTTGGGGCTATTTGGTTTCATTTGTGCATTTGGGGTTTTCTTTTGGGGGGAAGGGGGGGTTGAAAAAGAGAAAATCTTGTGAGGAAGAGTAATTTAAAGACAGAAATCATTCCCATGAATAGATCTGGTTAATTTTGGACCCCACTTGTGCATGAAGCCAATTTTGATGGGATTCTCCCATTCTTCAACGTTGTCGTTGCGAGGCTCAGGAGGCAGTGACTCCTCTGGGCTGTTTCCATGAACTCCCACCACGACTCAGAGCCATCACAAATGAGCCAACAAAAATAAATCTGTGGTTATAATGAACTTTACAGCCCAAATGTTGGCACTGGATGGGGTTGTGTAGTCCAGGCCCTTGGAGAAGGAATTAATTGTGTTGGGCCACCACCACCACTGAAATTTGGGCTTTTCCCAGCTGGGTGAGAACTGCCAGTCCCAAGGATTTTGTGGTGGATGGGGAAAATTGTGGTGAACTGGGAAAAAATCCAGGCAAGGGCATTTCCAGGAGGGCTGGATGGTGTTGGAGTGGTTTCTGGCTTATCTTTTAGCTGGGAAGGGTTTAAACCCAAAGGTTGGGTTCAGCTCTCCATATAAACCCAACCGTTGGGCTCAGTTCTTAATTTAAACCTGATGGTTTGGTCCTATCCAACCACTGGGTTCAACACTTTGTGAAAACCCAAGAGTTGGGTTCAGTTCTTAATCTGAACCCAGTGATGGGTTCAATCCTTCATTTAAACCTAATGGTTGGGTTCAAACCTTAATTTAAACCCAACAGGTGAGTTCAGCTTTTCATATAAACCCAAGAGTTGGGTTCAATCCTTAATTTAAACCCAACAGTTGAGTTCAACCCTTCATTTAAACCCAGTAGCTGGGTTCAACCTTTCATTTAAACCCAGTGGTTGGGTTCAATCCTTAATTTAAACCCAGTGGTTGGGTTCAAACCTTAATTTAAACCCAACAGTTGGGTTCAATCCAATGGTTGGGTTCAGCCTTTCATAGAAACCCAACTGTTGTGTTCAAAACTTCTTTTAAGCCCAAGAGTTGGGTTCAATCCTTAATTTAAATCAAATGGTTGGGTTCAATCCAATGGTTGGGTTCAGTCCTTCATTTAAACCCAAGAGTTGGGCTCAATCCTTAATTTAAACCAAATGGTTGGGTTCAATCCAATGGTTGGGTTCAGTCCTTCATTTAAACCCAAGAGTTGGGCTCAATCCTTAATTTAAACCCAATGGTTGGGTTCAATACTTAATTTAAACCCAAGAGTTGGGTTCAATCCTTCATTTAAACCCAAGAGTTGGGTTCAATACTTAATTTAAACCCAATGGTTGGGTTCAATACTTAATTTAAACCCAAGAGTTGGGTTCAATCCTTCATTTAAACCCAAGAGTTGGGCTCAATCCTTAATTTAAACCCAATGGTTGGGTTCAATCCAATGGTTGGGTTCAGCCCTTTGTTTAAACCCAAGAGTTGGGTTCAGCCCTTTGTTTAAACCCAAGAGTTGGGTTCAATCCTTCATTTAAACCCAAGAGTTGGGTTCAATACTTAATTTAAACCCAAGAGTTGGGTTCAATACTTAATTTAAACCCAAGAGTTGGGTTCAATCCAATGGTTGGGTTCAGTCCTTCATTTAAACCCAAGAGCTGGGTTCAGCCCTTTGTTTAAACCCAAGAGTTGGGTTCAATCCTTCATTTAAACCCAAGAGTTGGGTTCACCTCTTCATTTAAGCCCAAAGGTTGTGTTCAACCCTTGTTTTAAGCTCAACAATTGGATTTAGCTCTCAAACGCCTCTTCATGGTTAGAGACCCCAAACTGTGCCGTCTGCCCCGCTCCTGGTCATTAACTCTGCTTCTCTGCTTTGTTTTCTCCATTCCAAGGTGGGCCTTAATGTTCTGATCCAGAGAGCAAACAAGTTTACCCCGGCCACTCGGCTCCTGATCCAGAGGTTCGTGCCATTCCCTGCTGTCGGTAAGGAAAAATTCCTTTTCTTTTTATTCCAAGTGGTGGCTGCAAACCTGCAGGTGGCCAGAAGCCACTGGGGTGGGCACAGCTCCTTCCTTCCTGCTCGTGGCCCCTCAGCGGTGCTCCCTGAGCTGGGACAGGCAGGGATGGGACTCTGAAAAGCAGAATTTTGGCAGAAAATGCTGCAAAGCTGCCGGTGGAGGCAGCTCCTCAGGCCTTCCAGCTGCACTTTCCACTCTGAAGCAGCTCCAGAAGCGATCAGCACCGGCTGCTCCTCGACCACTCCGATCTGAGCGCGTTTCCTTTGCAGGATCTGGGCTGAGCTGTGCCAGATCACGGTGGTTATTTCCCAACAAAACACAAAGAATTGGTTCTGCTCTGACTGCGCAGATTTCTGAGATTCAGAAACCTGAATCTGATTCAGAGCAGCCCCAAGTGTGTGCAGGACTGAGGCTGCTCCTGGCTTTTTGGTTTGGGCTGTTTCGGGGTTTTTTTTGGAACATTTTACTGGTGTTTTATCAGCCCTGTGTTTGAGGGAAGGGATGCCCTGGACTCAGCCTTTGCTGGGCCCTGTGGTTCCAGCCCCCAGCAAATGCTGAGTTATTTTAACCCTGAAGAAATCACCAGTGGCTTTGGGGGGTAATTTTTTTTCTGTAAGCTTGTTTATTTACAAAGATGGTGAAAAAAATTGCCCAGGCATGGAGGAAATCACTAAAAAAATGGGGTTTTCTCCCTGTTCCAGGTGCCTTTTTCAGCCATTTAATGCCATTAATTTAATTAAATGAATTAATTAAATTAATTTTCCTCTCGGGTTTTTCCTTTGCTGTGCAAGTGCCACATCCTCGGAGCTCTCCTGAGCCCCTTTTCCTGTCTGCTGCTCTCACTTTCTCTGGCCTTCCAGCTCCTTTTTGAGCAGAGAACTGGTTGTTGTGCCCCTCAATTCCTGAGCTGCTTGAGGGGTGTTTTCCCCTCTTTTCTGCCAGAAAAGCAGCAGCTTTCCCTGCCTGCAGAGCAGGGGTGATGGGATTGTGTCCTGAGCCCTTTCCTTGTGCACAGGGGATCTTTGGGCATTGCTGTGGTTTCCCTGGGACTTTTCCAGGATCTGTTTTCGAGGGATTCACCTTCCCTTGGGTTTTTATAACCAGGAGAGCACAAGGGATGAGTTCAAGCCCCAGAGGCAGCTCTGAGGCGGGGTTTGAGACAAAGACACGCAGGAAATCCTTGCTGCAGGGCTGATCTCTTTTCACACCCAGGTGTTTGTGTTGCCATTGATTGAGGACCCATCATTAATTTGTTTAGCCTGTAATTAATTCTCCAGCTAATGTTTTATTTGTCATGCTTCCTTATGAGCCAGGGCATCAGGGATCCTCCCAACTAATTGCTGGTTTGTAGACCTGGGCAAACCCTTAATTAAGATGTGTCTCCCAATCACTTTTGAACCTCCAGCCCCCAGCAGAAAGGCAGAAATTCTCAATTTCTGCATGGAAAGCCAAACACCAGGGCAAAGCTTTTGCTCCAAAACCCCACGGATTCCATCCCCAGGGCTGGGGTTTAGTGGTGGGTCTGGCAGTGAGGGTCGATGCTTGGACTTGATGATCTTAGGGGTCTTTTCCAGCCTTAATAATTCCGTGATTCTGTGAAATTAAAGAGGTTTCCCCATCCCTTCCTTGCCTCCCTCTCCACTGAGCTCCAGAGCTGGTTGGGAAAACTGGAGGGACATCCAGGATTGAGGGTCCCATCCCAAGTTTCCACGGGAGGGGGAGGCCCAGGGAGCTGCTGCTGGGGGGGAGAACAGCCCAAACTCCAGCAGGGATCTTCCTGAGGGCTCTGTGGAGCTTTGGGAAGCTGGGCAAGCTCTTGGTGCCTTCTCCAGGCGGTGTTTGTGCCCACCTGCAGCCTGGAGGACACATTGAACTCCAGGCCCTGCCCTCACCCTCCTCCAAGGAGCAGCTGGAAATCCCAAATCACCCAAAAAACCCCACCCAGCTCCAGGGGATGGATCCCCAAATCCTGGAGGTGCCAAGGCCCTGCAGAGCCAGAGGCTGCACCTCTGGAAAAGGGTTTGGGATGGGAGCATCCTCTGGGGTCCTCCATGGGGAGAGCAGGAAAGGGAAGGAGGGTCTTGGAGGCTGAATCTGAGCGGGGAGGGGCTGGATCCTTTCTCAGAGGTGAGGAGGGGGAGGATCTCGGTGCCCAGGGAATTCAAGGAACCAAATTCACCCTTTTCTGCCCCAGAGCTGGGTGTGAACAGCTGTCCCCAAGGCCAGGGTGCCACTGGTGAGGGTGTGCTTTATACTGGAGATGTTCATGGCTAAAAGTCCTTAGAAAACCCCAAAAATCTCATCCCAAATGTGATCTGAAGGAAACGAAAGCTTTTGGAAAGATCCTCACTGGAGAGAAGAGAGAGGGAGGGAGGATTTCTCCTCCTGGGGCTTTTTTGTGTGTGTGTGTGGTTAAAATCATTGTGTTTAGGTGATGCCCAAGGACAGATTTAGAGTGTGGGAAGCACCCTGGGCTAGAAAAAACACCTACCAGCACACCAGGGTGGGGTGGTGGCTCGGTTTGGAGCCTGGACCCAGCTTCCCGTGTGCCTCCGAGCTCTCTCACAGCCGCAGTTTCCAGGCCACGTTATCACAATTTCTTCCCAAATCCTGCAGATCACTTTGTCTGCACGGATATTTATTTATTTCTCACCCCACCCCGTGCATCTGAGACGTCCACGAAATCCAAGTTTAGCCGTAATTAGCGGCGCTTTCTGCTCTCTGGGAAAGCAGAAGGGGAGCGCTTACGTGAGCGGCTCGGCTCAGGCGAGCGGGCTGGGAGCAGCTTTCGGCTTTGGGACCAGGTCAGGGGATCCAGGACCTCGCAAAAGCATCTCGGGAGCGTCAGGGCTGGCCAGCCCATGCTGAGTCTGTCAGGAGCTCCGTGCCAGGGCGTCCCTGGCCAACGCAGCTCCGCTGGGGCGTTTTATCCGCTCCCTTCTGATGGACGGCGAGAAGGACGGGGCGTGAGAGTGTTAGAGACGCAAAAAAAAAACCCACAGGGGGCTCAACTTGCTTTAAATGAAGGGCCTTGTTTTGTTTTTTTATCTGGGCTTGGGGAGCTGGAGGCTTGGGAACGCAGATATTTTGATAGATGGGAAGAGTGGTCTGGTAGTTGGAATATTAAAGAGAGAGACAGAGTGTGCGTGTGTGTGTGTTCCTCTCCCTCTCGAGTGGAAGGAGCATTTGTCACCACAAATCATCCTTGATTGCACAGAGCTGCCTTCGGAGAGGGCTCACCCACCCACCACCCTCAAAAAATTAGACATTTGTTATATGACATGAATTGAGATTAATTAGCGAATATTAACCCATCAAGCAGCGCAGAAACACATTTTTGGAAGGCACTGGTACTTGCAGCAACAGTGGGTTTGTCTCAGTTCTGGGTGGAAAGTTTGCAGGGAAATGTGGTGTGGGGAGTGCTGGAAAATGCCACTTGATCAGCCCAAAAGTTTTGTGGGAATTAGCAGCTTTTCTTTGGGAGAAGTTGGGAAGTGCCTGAGCCTGAGGGAGGGGCTGGACGTGGGAGGGTGGTGCTCAACCCCAACTCTTGGTCAGACTTGAGAGACAGAATTTGGGATCGTCTCGAGGCCTCAGAAGCCACGGGCTGGGCAAGGAGGAGGGGTCGGGAAGGTCCTGGTGCACGGAGCCCTTTTTCCCCAAAAATCTGTGAAATGATGGAATGGTTTGGGCTGGAAGGGGCCTCAAAGACCATCTGGCTCCAACCACAGGCGAGGACACCTTGCACTGGACCTTCCTGTAGTCCTGCTGGCCCCTGCAGCACCAGGGGAAAAACCTGGTTATTATTCTCCTTGAGAACCCCGTCGTCTTTTGGGATCAGAGCGATCCACCTGAGCAGAATGAGGGGAGGAAATCTGGAGGGCACTCGGGGCAAACAGGAGCTGCCAGTGGGGGCTGAGCAGGGCTGATCCTCCTGCCTTTCTCCTCCTCAGCCAGTGCCAACATCTGCAACGTGGTCCTGATGAGGCACACGGAGCTGGAGGAGGGGATCGACGTGCTGGACGACAATGGGAACATCGTGGGCTCCTCCAGAGTTGCTGCCAAACACGTGAGTTCCGAGGGGCTGGGACAGGGCTGAGCCCGGGCTGGACACGTCCCACGGCCTCTGCAATCCACGGCTTTCGGAGCTGGGGACGGAGCAGATCCGGAGAGCACGGATTTGTGTCAGCCAGGGAAATTCGGGGAATGGCCCCAGTGGTTTGGAAGGGCACGGATTGACGTTGGGAGGATCCTGATGCTTCCACAGGAATTCCTTGTGGAATTCCCAGTGAAGATCCCTCACACCTTTTCCCAGATGAGGAGGACCCTGAGCTGAGCGGCTTTTCAGCCCTTCCCTGCCAAACCTGCCTTAAAAGCTGCCCCCAAACTGGGGTGAGGGCAGCCAGATGTGAGGGCAGCCAGATGTGAGGGCAGCCAGATGTGAGCCAGATGTGCCAGCCCTCGTGAACCTCACCTGGTTCACTTTCCCGTCACCCTCTCGGTGCCACCCTGGGCCCGCTCCCTTCCCAGCCTCAGAGCAGTCCTGGCTCCCGAGCACCCCCCGAGCTCTGGTTTCCAAGTGGGCTCTCGGCTGAGATGTGGAGCTGTGCTGAGCACACGCCCAGGCACAGGAGTTAATAATATAATGCTTGGCATTTCCCTCCCTCCTTCTGTCCAAGGCATCCAGAGACAGCAATTAATGCACAGCTCCGCAGTCCTCGGCAGGAACGGGGAGATCTCGAGAGCTCTCCATATTGTTGTTTCACAGGGGGATTCAAACAATCTGCTGAAGGGCTCAGAGACACTTCTTGGAGCCAGTTTTCCTCACTTCCATTCATGGGCTCCAGGACCACTTCACCCTCTCCATCCTGATGGCTGAAAGGGAAAATAAAGATTAAAAGTGAAGGTTGAAAGAGAAAATAAAGATTAAAAGTGAAGGTTGAAAGAGAAAATAAAGATTAAAAGTGAAGGTGCTGTGAGAGTGATGTAGGTGGAGCTTAATCAGAAAACTGGGGAGTTTTGGGAACTTCTGCTCAGCTGCCATCCAATCCCAGAGCTTCTCCCTGGACAGGTTAATCCTGGTTTTGGTTGTGTAAAACGTGGCAGCTCCTCAGTGGGACACAGCTGTCCCTGTGTGAGGTTTGTTGTGATGGAGATGTCCCTGTGGCATAAAATCATGGAGTGCTTCGGGTGGAAGGGACCATAAATCCCACCCATTCCCCCCATCCATGGGCAGGGACAATTCCCACTGTCCCAGCTGGATCCAGCCCCAATGTCCAGCCTGGCCTTGGGCATTCCCAGGGATCCAGGGTCAGCCCCAGCAAATCTGGGAATTGCAGCCCAGGCAGGAATTCCTTGCCAAGATCCCAGCCCAATCTCCCCTTTCCCACTGGAAGCCATTCCCTGGCTCCTGGCCCTGCAGCCCTTGGCCCCAGTCCCTCTCCAGCTCTCCTGGAGCCCCTGCAGGTCCTGGAAGATCTCTGGGCCTCGGTGAGCCCAAACCCCACTTTGGCTGCTCCTTCTGGTGAGTGTGGCCAGGAGGGAGGGCTCGGTGCAGCCTCTGGACACTTTTTGGTCAGGCCAGGTGAAGCCAGGGCAGCTCTGGCGTGTCTCTGTTCGCTCTGCTGGGTTTGTGACCCGGAATGTTGTGACCAAGCAGCTCCTGGCGGGGCTGGCAGCGGCTGCTGATCCTCTCTTTGCCATCAAGAGCCCAGCAGAGCCGTTCCTCAGCCCGGCAGGTCCGTCCTGGCTCTCTCTGGGATGTCTGGATGTGTTTGTTTTTGCTCCGCAGGCTCTGCTGGAAACGGCCCTGACCAGAGTGGTCCTGCCCATGCCTATACTGGTTCTACCTCCCATCATCATGTCCGTGCTGGAGAAGTGAGTGTGCCCGGGGGAGCGGGGGGTTCCCGAGGGGAGGGGCGGGAAGGTCCTCGCTGGGTGTCAGGAATTGATCTTTCATGGGATCCTGGGATGGTTTGGGTTGGAAAGGTCCTGCTCGGTCATCGAGTCCATCCCCAGCCCTGCCACCGCTGCCCCACGTCCACAGGGCTTGGAAATGCCCCAGGGATGGGGGCTCCAGCCCTGCCCTGGGAGCCCCTCTCAATGCTTCACAACCCTTTCCATGGAGGAATTCCCCCAAATCCAACCTAAACCCTCCTGCTGCTGTTCCCTCTCCTCCTGTCCCTGTTCCCTGGGATAAGATCCCAAACCCATCCCTGGCTGTCCCCTCCTGCAGGAGCTGTGCAGAGCCACAAGATCCCCCCAAATTTCATCCACAAAATCTATTTTTAGCTCATTAAATTTCCACCTTCCATCATTTTGCACCAACACCCGGTTTGTTGATATTTTATACTGATGTGGTTATTCCAAGCCATCCCTGACCCCCAGCAGTTGGAATAGAGGAAGAATTGTTGGAATAGTTGGAATAAGAGGAAGCTCAGGGTGAGACAAAACCCTCCGAACCCAGTGCAGAACTTCCCCTGATTTTCATTCTCCACTTAGCAAACATCAGAGATTAAAAGGCTTTGGCTGCTGTTCAGCCAGAGATTTTCATGGCATCATGGAATTGTTTGGGTAGGAAGAGACCTTAAAGACCATCTAATTCCAGTGAGGAGCAGATTCCAGCCACCCCCTCATTTTGTGCAAAACATTTGACTTTTATTTCATTTTCCTTCTGGACAAAATCCCTGCAGCCTCTTCCCTGCCCTGGGTCGCTTTTTGTCCCCCCCGTGGTCCCAGGCCAGGATTTCCTGCAGGATCTGCTGGGAAGGTGCCTGGGAGTGGCTGTGCCTTACCCTGGAGTTCCTGGCTCTGGAGGAATTTATTCTGGAGTGATTTCCTCCGAGGTGTGAGTAGGAACTGAGGCTTTACACTCAGGCGGATTTGTGTGCTCCCACTGGTTTAACTGGTTCCCATTTAACCGTCCCAAATTAAATCAACACCCAGGACAAATGGTTTTATTGCTTCAAAGGACCTTTTGCTGGGCATCCACAGATAAAATCTTTTATGCGCAAAAAATTTGGAGAAATTTGTAGAGAACTCGTCTCTAAATTAATAAATCTTTGTCTCTGGCAGGACACACTGAGGGCCCATCCTGGGCCGGCCCCAAGCTGAAATAAACCTGACAGGAAAATTGGATTGGCACCTGGGGAGAAAATAAAACTGCTGGTGAAATTTGCTCCGTCCTTTGCAGCAAAACAAAACCAATAAATCATTTCTTTGTCCTCGGGGGCATCATAAATCCTTGACGAGTTTTGCTGAATGCACCTGTGCTCAGTGCAGGCCTTACTAAAACTGATTTTATCTGTGAACTTACAGCAGATTGCCCTGAAAAAAAAAAAAAAAAAATCATTTTAACTTATTGGAAGCTTTAATTCACGTTTGTGAGAGAAAATTTTCCTCCTCACTGCCATGAAAACTCCTTGGGTATAAAAATATCCGGGCTCTGCTTTTGCCTGCCTGAATTCTCCCCAGAGCTTTGTGCCTGCTTCATTTTCCATCAGATATCCTCGGATTCCTGGAGGGCTGGGAGTGAGGAGCAGCAGGGATGGGAGTGAGGTGTGGAATCCCTGGAGCATCCCTGGGACTGCCCTGGCTGCACCTCAGGGGTCTGAGGCCAACTCCCAGAGCTGGAAAGTGCTTCCCAAAGGGCTCAGTCAGAGCTGAAAGCTCATTTTGGGGAGAAAAAAACCCTTTGGAGCATTTAGGGGAAAGTGCAACTCTATAAATTTTAGGATTTGAGTTTGAGGAGGGTTTTCATTTTTTTATTTATTTATAATTTATTATATAATATGTAATATAATAATATAATTTATGATATTTTAATATTTATATTTTATATTTTATATAATATAAATATTAAAATATTATTTTATATTATTAATACATTATCAACATATATACTATTTTATTTATACATTTTATTTTATTTATAAATTATTCTTTGTAGAAATCCCTACAGGAGCTGTAAACGGGAGGGTGAATGTGTCTGAGAGGGAGAGCTGGGATCAGGAGTCACAACCTGGATTTGGGAATGTGGGGAAAGAGGGCAGCAATTCCTCAGAGTCATTTACATTGGGACTGTGGGAGGGAGGGGAAGATGCTTCCAGTGGGATTCTGGGGAAGGAAGGGAACAATTCCACCAATGGATTTACATTTGGAATTGTGGGGAAGGAAGGGAACAGTTCTTATAATGGATTTACTTTTGGGATTGTGGGGAAGGAAGGGAACAGTTCTTATGATGTTTGGGATGTGGGAAGCAGGGGAACAATTCCTCCAGGGGATTTGAGTATGGATGGGATTGTGGGAAAGAGGGGACGATTCCCCCAATGGATTTGAATTTGGGATGTGGGGAAGGAAGGGAACGATTCTTCCAGTGGATTTACATTTGGAATTCTGGGGAAGGAAGGGAGTGATTCCTCCAATGGATTTACATTTGGGATTATGGGAAGGAGGAGAAGATTCTTCCAGTGGATTTACATTTGGAATTCTGGGGAAGGAAGGGAGTGATTCCTCCAATGGATTTGAATTTGGGATTGTGGGAAGAAGGGGAAGATTCCCCCAGTGGATTTGCATTTGGGATGTGGGGAAGGAAGGGAGTGATCCCTCCGAGGAGTCTGAGTTTGGGATGTGGAAGCAGGGGAGGATTCCCGTGCCCGGCGTGATGCCGGCTGCAGGTGGGTGATGGCACTCCCAGCCCTCCAGGGCCCAGCCCCTGCTCCCAGCAGGGTTTCAGATCCCAGGAATTCTCCCCGCCTCGCCTGCACCTCGCCGCTCCCAAAGTTTATTTTAAGTGGCCAGTTCCCGGCCGCCGTCTCTCCGCTCGGATCCAGGTCTTTCCTCTCTCCCAGCCATCTCTCCATCTGCATGTTTTAACTCCCCCAGCTGCCTCTCTCGTCTCTTGTGCCATTTTTTTCAGCTCTCTTGGCTCCTCTCGTCTCTTTGCCTGCTGTGTATTTTAACTCCCAGGGCCGCCTTCTCTGCTCTCCAAGTAATTCCATGTTCCCTCCCACTGCCGCGCTCCCATTCTTCCCCATGTTTCATGCATTTCCTGCTGCTTGGACGCTCTGTTGGAGCGGTGAACATATAGAATCAATGTTTATTTTCAGCCTGCATATGCCACGCAGGGAACACGGTGTCAGTTATTTTGTGCAGATGTATTCTCATTGAGGTTTTATAAATAATATCTGCGCTGGCAACTTCCATGCGGGAAAAATATCGGCTTGGCGGTGTCTGCGGGATGAGGGCGACTCTTCCGCGGCGTGGAGCTGGCGCTGGGAATTCTCTGGTGCAGGAACTGGGGCTCTTCCTCCCCATTTCCCTCTATTCCCGTTATCCAGGCGCTTCCTTTGTTGGGAGGTTCCGATGAAATCGGGGACGCGGAGCTGTTTGATCCCGTCCAAGGCTTCTCCAGCGGCCTTGGCGCAGCTCCTGCTCCTCGCAGGGCTGGTTTGTGCGGGCCAGGCCGGCTCCAGGGGCAGCCTCAGCTGCACTTTCCTGGCTCCAAGGGCCGGAGAAGCTCCGTCCATCACCAGCGACTGCTGGGGACGCTTTGGGGCTTCTCTGAGTGGGGAGAGGAGAACCGGAGCTCCTCTTTCATCCTTGTCCTCAGACTCCTCCCAGCCCCTCAGAGAAGACCTTGCACGGGGTCTGAAGCACGGAGCAGGGCTGAGAAGGTTCTGAGAGCTCAGGAATGTCAGGATGTGCTGGAGGAGGCCTTGGAGCTGGCTGGGCAGTGTCTGTGCAAGAGCCAAAGCTGGAACTGCTGGCAGTGAGGGAGAGATGGGAGCAGAACAGTTGTGTCTGTGGAAGAGGAGCATTTCTGCTCCTCTTCATCTCCAAATCCTCCTCATGCAGCGGTTCTCAGGGCTGTTTTCCTGTAAATCCCACAAAACCAGGCTGCTCCCAGGCTGGATCAGCACTGCAGAGCTGCTCTGGCTGAGCTAAATCGGTGGCACTGGGAAAAATGGGTTTTCCTGGGGGCTGGCCAGCGCTCGGTGGTGCTGGAAGGGCATTTTCCTCCTCCCGAGCCGTGTTTGTCACTGCAGAACCAGGAGGCCCTCCTGGCCCTCGTTCCCGTGGACTTTTCCTGGAGATATTCCCGTGTCAGTGTGAGCGGGGCGTTCCCACATCCCTCTCCCCACAGGTGCTTTCCCCCCACGGCCCCGTCCGGCTCAGCCCTCGGTGAAGTTTGTTTGGGCTCAGCAGCTGCCGGCAGCGACACCTTCAGCTGCCGGGGCCCTTCCCAGAGAAAACACGGAAACTGCTCCTCTAATGGTGTCAATCAAGCACAAAAACCCCAAACCTCCCTCGGCTGGCATCCTCTGGAGGGGCACCGGGCTGGAGCTGCGGGGTGAGGCCTGGCTGGCCGGGACAGCAGAGCTGCTGCTCGCTGGTGGAGCTCAGATTTCCCAAAACGACCCAAAACGAGTGAGGAAAGCTCGGGAGCAGAGCAGAGACCTGACAGGCTCTGGGAGGGTCCAGCAGAAGGGGGATCTGGGGATCCCAAACTTGCCTGGCACATCAGAGGGGGGTTGTGAGGAGTCTGGGGTCCCTGAGGATCCCCCAAGCTCCAGCCCCGGTGCCCCACGGCAGCGCCGGCGTCTCGCGGTGTCTGCGCTGCCTCTGAACCTGTTTATAGCAAACCCCAGAGAATCTGTCAGCTGGGAGACTTGGGTTCACTCCTGTCATGTTTAGTTTAGCATCTGACACCTCCTCCCAGACAAATACAGCCCTGGTTCAGCGCACCCGATAACTCCTTCGGAGTGCAGCGCCTGACTTCCATATGGAATAAATTACAGCACCTCCTGAAAAACGCCAGAGGCAGCTGCCAAATTATGCAAAATTTCAACCACTAATGAACACTGTGATGAAAGTTGAATGAAGGTGTATTTACAAGAGCTCCAACACCCTGTCTCTGTGCAGCAGATGCACTGTCTGTGTGTTTGTACCTACGGACACCGCGCTGCGGCACGGCGAGACGGGAGCCGCGGGCTCGCCTGCCTCCGCTGCGTCCCTCAACATTCCCAGAGCCTTCCCTGCCTCTTCCAGAGTCCTCCCAGCAAAAGTTGTAAAGGGAAATTGCAGGAGGAAGAGGCACTGGGGGGTTGGAGGGGGAAAAGGAACAAAGCTCGAAGGAAAAGAGAAGGAGGAGGAGGAGGAGGAGGAGGGAGGTGTTGCAAAGTTTTCTGTTCTTTGCCATCCACAGGTCAGGGGAGAGTCGTGGGTCAGTTCTGACGATGACACAGAGCCAAAATGTTGTGTTGTAAACTTAGAGACAATAAAATAAACATGTTAAAGGGGGCCTAGGAAAGGCTGGAGAGGAACTTTTCCCAAGAGCAGGCAGTGAAAGGACAAGGGGAGATGGTCTCCAGCTGAGGGAGGGGAGGTTTGGATCAGGTTTGGATCAGGTTTGGATCAGGTCTGGGGAAGGAATTCCTGGCTGGGAGGTGCCCAGAGCAGCTGGGGCTGCACCTGGATCCCTGGCAGTGCCCAAGGCCAGGCTGGACACTGGGGCTGGAGCTCCTGGGACAGTGGGAGCTGTCCCTGATGGGCTTTAAGGTCCCTCCCAACCCAAACCATTCCATGATTCCCTTGTCCTCCTGCAGCTTTCCAGTGTGAGACATCTCGGTGCAAACTTTCCAACCCCTTGCTGAATAATCTGAGCCAGGGTTAATCCCAAAGCTGCTCCTGTCCCGTGGATGGGGTGAGGTCTCCAAAACTCCTGCTCTCCTGTGGAACAGCACCAATCCCCCTGCAGCTGGGGTGGGGTTTGCTCTTGTGAATGAATCAGGCTCCTTCCTCTGCTCTTTTAGCACCTCCTGCTTTTTGAACATCCCTGGAGATGATGGGTAATTCGATTTTTAGCATCTCTTTTTTGAGTGTCTTTTGGGAGACTCAAAATCCATCTGGACACAATCCTGAGTTCTGTGCTCCCGTTTGAGCAGGGAGGTTGGCCTGGGTGAGTTCCCTCACCCTGGCATGTTTTAGGCTCCAGAAGATGCCAGGGCTGGGCTGTCAGGGGGTTCTGGAGGTGCAGAGCTCCCCGTTCCCTGACCCCACCCTTGGGCAGAGCACTCAGGGCAGCGGTGTAACCCGAATCCCTCCTCACCACGTGGATATTCATTTTATTTATTTCCAGTCTGTGCTGATCCTCTGCAGTGGAAGCCTTTGGAAGCTCCTCATCACTGCCTTCCCGTGGGGGGTTAATGGGTGAAAAGGGATTTGCATTGCAGCTGGCAGCTCACAAAATGCAATATTTAACTCCCCATCCTCCCGAGCTCGGTGTCGGGAGCAGGGATCCCAGGGACGGGAGAAAACTGGACCTCTTGGCTAATTATGAGTCATTTATTCTGAACCACACAAATTCTCCAATCTGAATCCCAATTAAGACATTGCACTACATGTGTTAATTAGTCTGCTCTCCTTTTTAAATCGAGCCATAAACCCCACCTAATTAGGAGGTCGGCCCTTGTAATTTGAACTGGCCTGAGTTGGAAGCACCCCTGGAAGTCACACCTGGGGGCTGGGCCCGGGATCGTTTTAAATTGGTCGAGGCTTTTCTGGGGTGATTATAAGGTCCCCGACAGGGCAATAATTACAGAGGGTGCAGTTCCAAATGGAGATGTCAGGGGTGGTGTCACAGCGAGGCCTTGAGCCCCGGGGAGGCTGCAAGGAGCCTGCTCCTGGGATTGTCCCAGCCTCTCACGGATCACAGCAGCTCCAGCAGCAGAAACAGCTCCAGGAGCTGCCCAGAGCATCCCAGGGATGGGCACGGCTCAGCCACGGCAGCCCTGCAACAGGGAGGGCTTCAAGGGTGTGGAGCAGTCACTGCTGTCCTGCTGGGACAGGTCACCTGCTGAGACAGGTGACTTCTGCTGGGACAGGTGACTTCTCCTCCTTGGACAGGTCACCTCTCCTGCTGGGACAGGTGACTTCTCCTGCTGGGACAGGTGACCTTTCCTGCTGGGACAGGTGACTTCTCCTGCTGGGACAGGTGACTTCTCCTGCTGGGATAGGTCATCTGCTGTCCTGCTGGGACAGGTCACCTCTCCTGCTGGGACAGGTCACACCTCTCCTCCTTGGACAGGTCACCTGTCCTGCTGGGACAGGTGTCCTGCTGGGACAGGTGACTTCTGCTGGGACAGGTGACTTCTCTTCCTTGAACAGGTCATCTCTCCTCCTTAGACAGGTCACCTCTCCTGCTGGGACAGGTCACCTGCTCTCCTGCTGGGACAGGACACCTTTCCTGCTGGGACAAGTCCTGCTGTCCTCCTTGGCCAGGTGACCTGATGTCCTGCTGGGACAAGTCAGCTGATGTCCTCCTTGAACAGGTCATCTCTCCTCCTTAGACAGGTCACCTCTCCTCCTTGGCCAGGTGACCTGCTGTCCTCCTTGGCCAGGTGACCTGCTGTCCCACTGGGCCAGGTGACCTGCTGTCCCGCTGGGACAGGTGACCTGCTGTCCCACTGGGACAGGTGACCTGCTGTCCTGCTGGGACAGGTGACCTGCTGTCCCCCTTGGCCAGGTGACCTGCTGTCCCTCTGGGACGAAGCCTGGCAGGTTTCTGTGGGAGGACCCGAGGTGCAGCGTGCTCCGTGCAGCACAGAGCAGCTCAGCACTGCAGAACAGAAGCTTGACTTTCACAGCACAAATTGATAGGATCAACTCTGTCTCGAGAGCTTATTAGTGAGGAGCTGAGATGCTGGAGGAGATAAATCCTGGTGTTTGCTCTCCCCACGTCTCCCCAAGCTGACGGAGATGGAGGCAGCTCTCAGCAAGGGCGGGGAGGCTGAGTGTGCCCTGACAGGCTGGGTGTGCCCTGAGAGGCTGAGTGTGCCCTGAGAGGAGCAGGGTACGAAGGCTGAGTGTGCTCAGACAGGAGCAGGGGGTGAAGGAAGTCTGAGTGTGCCCAGAGAGGAGCAGAGGGTAAAGGCTGAGTGTGTTCAGACAGGAGCAGGGGGTGAATTCCTTCCCATCAGATCACCCAGGTGCATTTGGAGCCGGTACCAGACGTGGGGCAAGGGGCTGAGGTGACCTGGGCTCCACCCTGGCTGCAGCCCCGTGCCAAGGCAGGGCAGGGACAGCCTGGGCTGGTGCCTGGGAATGGTGCACGTGGGGCTGGGAGAGGTTTAATCCCGGTGGTGTCACCACAGGCACGGATGTCCAGGGGTTGGTGTCATCTCTTGGACCTTCCCTGGCCAAGGAGAGCTCCTGGGACTGCCCCAGAGGGAAGGAGATCATGGAATCATGGAATATCCTGAGCTGGATCCTCAGGGATCGTCCATCCAAGCCCTGGCCCTGCCCAGACCCCCCAGCAATCCCACCCTGGGCACACCTGGCAGCGCTCCTGGTTGGAGTTGGGAATGTGCCCATTCCCTGGGCAGTGCCAGCACCCTCTGGGGAAGAACCTTTCCCTGAACTCCAACCTGAGCCTGCCCTGGCCCAGCTCCAGCTGCTCCCTGTGTCCCAAATAAGCCAGCAGCACATCCACTCCCTCTCCACATCACTCACACACCCTGAACATTCCAGCCAAACTCCCCGTGCAGTTGTTGGTTCATATTCCCAATTTTCCAGTGGAATGATAGGGATTCTTTTTGTAAATGGCACTGGAATAAACCCTTCACAAATTATATTTTCCACTTTAACACTGATGAACTGCCTGAGGCCCCCTACCCTGGAATATATTGAATATTCCAGCTTCCACCAGCTGAATGTTGTCCCAGTTTCCATCAGAAAGGTCACTTTTGGGCCATTCCCAGAACCTGACCTTGCAGGAACCTTCAGGTGTTTGCTGTTGGCAAGTCTGGAACTCACAAACATCTGCTGGGAACACCAAATGTTAAAAGATCCTCGTCACCCACTGCAGATGTTGGATTTTAACAAATTAAGGGGTTGCCAATGTTGTAGCTCCATTGCTCCATCAATGAAGCTGCTGGTGCCTTTTCCAGTGTCTTCTCCAAAGCTCCCAGACCTCCCAGTGCCTCTCCAGGACCTGATTTCCTTCTGCTCATGGGGCACCAGCTCCACCTGGTCACCACAGGGGTCACCTGTGCTGGGGTCACCTGTGCTGGGGTCACCTGGTCCCCTCACCCCGCTGAGGGGTGGAACTGGGGCTGGGGGTGGTGACCTGCTGAGGGGGAGCTGTGCCCCCCTGGCAGTGCCCAGGGCCAAGCTGGGCAGGCCTGGAGAGCCCTGGCACGGTGGGAGCTGTCCCTGCTCATGGCAGGAGGAGGAATTGGATCACCTGTGAGGTTTTTTCCAAGCCCATTCCATGATTCTGGGAAGGGCAGCGGTGAGGAGAGGGGGGCCAGGTGAGCAGGGGTGTCCACCCAGGGGTGTCCTGCGCTCCCCTGGGCCTGGAATGATCTAACCAAGCCTTTCCCTTGCAGAACTTCGCTCCTGAGGTCCCGTCCCCGGATGATTCTCCCGGTCCAAAGCCTCGTGTGCCTCGCTGCCTTTGGCCTGGCCCTGCCCCTGGCCATCAGCCTCTTCCCGCAGATGTCAGAGGTCAGTGCGTGCCGGGGGCTCTTGGGGGTACCAACCACGGCCTCTCTGCCCTCCTGTCCTGTTCCTGTGTCCTGATGGAGCCAGTGCTCCTCTCCTCAGCTCTGCAGCCTCTCCAGGCAGGCAAAGGCCCCTCTCCCTCACACCGGGGTTTCCTCGGAGTTAAAATATGGAATCCAAGCTCTGTCCCTGAGGCCAGGAGCCTGGGCCACCCGTTTGAGGGGGATGTTCTTCCCCACAGCTTCTCTGAGGGTTTTTGTTTTTCATCTCCTGGGGAGACCCAGCCTGGGGGTGAACAGAGGAAAACCAGGCAAGGAGCAGGGAATGACCAACACAGTCTCTCAGAACAATTTAACAGATTGCTCAGGTGAATTTATTTCTAAGTCATTCATTTTGGTGGTTGGAGCTTTTCCTGGCTGTAAATCTGTACATTTCCAGAGAAGGTCTCTATCCCTGAGGGAGAAAGCCTCTGTCACACCAGGACTCTCTCAGGGCTCTTCCCGTGTCAGCTGGAAGAGCTGATCAGGAGTTTGTTTGCTGTCTGCAGGTTAATTGATAGTTTTTCAGTCTGGATGGGTTCATCCATGACTTCCAGCCAGGGAATCTTGCTGTACACTTGTGTGCTGACTGACAAACACGTCGGGAATTCTGTGTTGTCGTCCTTCTTGCTGTCTCCAGGCTGAGAAAACTGTCCCTTCTCTCTAAGAACCTGAATTCATCTCAGTCTTGGAGCCTCTTGCTAAAAGACGTGTTTGCTGAAGCTTTAATGATTCATATGGCTCTTCCTTAAACTTTTTCTAATTAGTCAACATCGTTTTTGGAGCCCTTCCATCAGGAGCAGACACAGCATTGCAGTCAGGAGCTGCACAAGCCCCAGTTGCAGGAGCAATGTGATTTCCCTGCCTCTCCTGGGCTCTGTGTGTGCCCAGAGCCTGGCAGCGCTGCTGGCAGGAGCTCAGCCCCGGCTCCCCGGCCACCAGCTCCGTGCTCTGAGCCCAGCTCTGCCGCCAGGCGAGGCTCAGCAAGGCTGAGGAGCACTGCCAGCTCTCGCACCTGCTCAAGGTAGAGCCTGGAGCACGTCCAACCTGCCCGTGGGAAGGAGGCTCGGGCACACAGCATCCCTTCTGCTCCTTCTCCAGAGAATCTGAGAGTTTTTGAGGCTGGAAAAGCCCTCTGAGATCTCCAACTGTTCCCCAGCAGTGCCAGGGCCACCGCTGCCCGTGTCCCCAAGTGCCACCTGCACAGGGCTTTAAATCCCTGCGGGGATGGGCGCTCCAGCCCTGCCCTGGGCAGCACCTTCCAGTGCCTGACCACCCTTTCCAGGAAGAACTCCTTCCTAATTTCCAGTTTAAACCTTCCCCACTGCAATTTCACAGGAAATTTCCAATTTCCTCCCCATTTCCAGGAAAAATCTTTTGGGATAATCAGGGAAGCAAGACCTCAGGAAGTACCACCAACCCCATTTATCCCAAAGGTGACATTGCCACTGTTCCTCCAAAATCCTGGAATTCTAAAATGGTTTGGGTTGGAAGGACCTTGAAAACCCTCTCGTTTCATGGTGGCCCAGGGACACCTCCCGCTGGAACTGTGGCTTTCGGGGTGACAGATCATTTCTCCTGTGCAGAATCTGATATTCCAGCAGGGAAAATCTCGCTGGCTTCAGCAGCTGAATGAATTCTAACCCACAGGGAAAACTCGGGGCTGAATTTTCATGGCTCCAGGGATACTGGGATTGCAGGCACCAGGCAGTCCTGGAAGCGCCGGCGTTGTTGGGAGTGACCTTCTGAAGGCAGCTGAGATGTTCCCGGCGGTGGAGCCGTGAATCAGCGCTGATCAGGGATCAGACGGGATGACGTGCGCTGCCCACACACCCTGCCAGGGAGAGGGAGCCCTCCCTGAGCCTGCCTGAGCTCTGCCTGCTGGGACCCAGCCCTGCTCCCCGGGGGAGAGCCCTGCACAGCTGGATCCCACATCTGCTCCTGCCGCGGGGTCAGCGGCTCCACAGGGGCTGATCAGTCACAGAATCCCGGAATGGTTTGGAGCAGGAGGGACCCTAAATCCCATCCCATCCCACCCCAGCCTCCCACCATCCCAGGAGGATCCAGCCTGGCCTTGGGCATTCCCAGGGATCCAGGGGCAGCCATGGGAAATGTGGGAATTGCAGCCCAGGCAGGAATTCCTTGCCAAGATCCCAGCCCAATCTCCCCTTTCCCACTGGAAGCCATTCCCTGGCTCCTGGCCCTGCAGCCCTTGGCCCCAGTCCCTCTCCAGCTCTCCTGGAGCCCCTGCAGGGACTCTCAGCATTCCCTGCATTTTGCCCTTCTCCAGGGGAACATTCCCAGCTCTCCCAGCCTATTTCCCCATTATGTTTGCATTTTCTATAAACCTGTGAGTGTTTACAAAGGACATTCCCCCCGTTTTCTGAAATCTCTTTGGAGGTTTTTGTGGGGATGCTCAAGGAGCAAAGCAAGTGATTTACCTGGAACAATCTCTGGATCCATTTAAGGAGCAAAGCAAGTGATTTACCTGGAACAATCTCTGGATCCATTTCCGGGTGGGAAATCCCAGTCTTCTTGCAGGGAGTGTTTCTCAAAACCTGGGAATTTTTGGGTGCTCATCACCAGACCATCAACTCCAGTGCTTGGGCTCGATGACCTTGGAGCCTTTTCCAGCCTGAATGATTCCATGATTCTGTCTTGCCAGATAAGGAATTCAGAGGTGTTTGAACACGGATCTGTGAGCAGGTGGGAATGTCTTTGCTTTTCCCATGGCCTCGGTCACGGGACCACGCTGTTGTACCAAGTACTACAGGGAGCAAATCAGCAACGAGGTGTAAGAGACGTGCTCTGCCCCAAGCACATGGCTGTAGTGTGAGCAGCAACCCCTGCAGGAGTTGTGAGGGATCCAAACCCTGCCCTGAATCACACAGGACCTTTTGCAAAGCAGGGAGCAAACAGAGGCTGAAGTGTCGCGGTTGTTTCGGGCCAGGAGCTCACGTGGCCGCTTGGATCCTCTCTCCTAACAGGACTCAAACTCACAGCTGGTTTTCCAGCAGAGCTGAAGCCTTGCAAGAGGTTGAGTAAATCTGCTGAATAATTGCAGCCACCTTGTCCCAGCAGCTGCTCCGGAGTTATTCCTGTGTGACAACAACTGCAGTGAAATCAGAGCTGAGCTCTGGCTGCAAGCAGAGGCACCAGTGGCAGGGAAAGGGAATTCTGGGGGTGAGCAAACTCCACGTGCTGGGAAGGTTAACGCACCCTGAGCCTTTTCTGGGTCGATATCCAGCCTAGCAGAGCCTTTTGTAGGGATGAAATGCCACTTGGATTTCTGCAGCGGTGCTCCAGAATCACAGCTTGTTTCTAGATATTATGGCTTTAAAGAGAACGTTATAAAAATAAACCCCTCGTATCAGCCACGAAACCATGGATCCTTGGGAATACTCACGCTGGAGCTGCTGAAAAACGTTCTTGTCATCCCAGGATAGCGTTAACTGTGGTACCTAAACCCATCAATATGCATTGAGTAATTCACTGCTGTTAAGTTTAGGAGAAACATGTAGTTAATGCATTTAGCCCACAACCTCCAACTGCCTCCCATGCCCCCCGGGGAATCTCTTCCCTCTCCCAATCCCGCAGCATCCCCACTGACAACTCCTACTCAGCTATGCACTGCCAATGGAAACAGCTGTGACAGCTCCAAACCGAAAATGGGACTTGTGCAAATGAAATTCAGTGTAGCAGCAGAAGAAAGAGCCACGGGGTTGCTCCGCTGCTTTTGCGCCCCGTGGGCCCTGCTCCTCCAGATCGTTCCTTCAGCAGCACCCACCAGGAGCCCGGCGGGATCCTGGGGAAAAGGGGGATAGGGACAGCTGGGAAATGGAGAAACGGAGCTGGAGAATGGCAGAGAAACCTTCACCCACCTGAGCTCTCCTGCCCTGGCCCGGGGGGAGTTCAAAGGGCGTTTTTTGGGTGATGCTCAATGCAAACCGAGGCGTCTTCTGGAATGAGGCTGATTTCAGCCTTTCCTTAAAAATAATCTTGCTCTTGGATCTCCAGGACAAGGGGAATAAACAGCCTAAAATCCAAGGCTGAGCTATTGTTTTCCAATCTGTTTTAGCCTTCATCTTGTTGGCAGGCTGCTTTAGAAAAGCAAAAGGTTAATGAGCCAATGTGCAGTGGGATTATTGCAGTAAAGATGACAGTGAACCAGTAATTACTAATTAGATGCAGTTTAACAGGAGGAACAAGTGAAATCTCCTCTTCACCAACTGTCAATAATTAGCAGATTTGGTGAGGTTGAAATGTGTCCACAGTTAAAAGGCTGATTTTTTAATGAAATGGCACTTGACAAAAGAGCTGTATGGAGGTCACAGCCATAGCCCTCGAGACGCTTCCCCATTCCATACTTAGGAGGGAAATCAGATGCAATCCAGCAGGGGGTCCCCATGGAACCATCCCTCCCTTGGGATTGCTCTGCACAGGGGGGAGGGGAACAGGAGGGATTCTCTGCAGTAATTTTGTCCAAGTTGGATGAGAAGCCAGGGAAGGGATTTGCCAGCTGCCATGGGGAAAAATGTTTGAGAAGTGAGAAGTTCTGCTTTGCTTCTGGGGCTGGGGAACGGTTTCCTGGGAGTCTGGGAGCCCTTGGGTTGGAGGCTGGGCTTGGAAGGAGCTCCTCTCAGCAAAGAAGTGGCACAAGGTCCTGAAGGGCTGGCAGGAGGCTGGAAGCTCAGTGGGAAGTGTCTCCCAAAGGCTGCAGAGGATTCAAGCTGTGCCGCAGAGATTGTTTCCTCCTGCTCCACCGGTGGCTTCGGGAGCACCAAGAGGTTCATCTGAGGTTCCTCTCCAAGTGCTGACCCAGCTTATCTTCTGCTTTATCTTCTGTCTTATCTTCTGGTTT